GGAATAGCAGCTTCCCATTAGTTTCTATGGATGGAAAAGAGCAGATACAGATTAAATGGTTTTCAGTGCAGTCCTATGGGAAATGCATATTCAACCTATGAACTTTTCGACCTTAGAACCACCTTCCAATACGGATTAAGTTCGTAAGTCGAGACCCCACTGTAAGTGGAGAGTTAGCTGAGATTTATTCTCAAATGCCACTGGACCAAGCAAGAGACTCTGAGGAATTCAGAAAATTGGTTTTCTTGAGGTTTGGATCAATGCTGAGCACCTCAGATGGAAATTTAGAGCATTGACTAAAAAGCCTGAGGAATCATATTCTCATTTGGGAGCAAATCTGGTCAGATACTTGGAGAAGTGGCTAGAACAGGCAAATGTAGAATCATTAGAAGATATGAAAAATATTATTGGGCTAGAACAATTCTATTCAATTCTACCTGGAGAACTGCGGTATTTGGTCAGGGACAATAAGCCGAAAACTGTACAGCAGGCAAGTGAAGCTGCTGATTATATATTATCATATATCAGAAATAAGAGCCTAAAGTTTCTGAGATAAAACGTGGCGGTAAAAGCTAGGACAGAAGAAAGAAAGAGCCCACAGAAACAATCAGGCTACTGGAGGCCATTTTAGAGGCAAACCCTTAAAGCAGAGTCAACAAAGGTATGAAAGGAAAGGGAGATAAGTCCCATATTTTGAACAAAGAGCCCCTAAAACCTGCTATGGATGCAGAGAAAAGGGCATTTCATTTTTCAGTGTCAGACCTCAAAGAATAAAGAGATTCGTCAATAGAAAGGAGGGGGAAATCTGCCCAAGAAAGTGTACTGTATACAACAGCAGAGAAAGACCACTGAGGCAGTTAGAAATGGCACAGTAACAGAGAGCTGAGAGCCAGGAACAACAACCACCTTTAGCAAACATTGTACAGTGGTGCCCCGCATAACGAGCACCCCGCTTAATGACGAATCCGCATAGCGATTGAGTTTTTGCTATTGCAAAAACTTTAAGGGGTAAAACATTGCTTTGCGATGATCGGTAAGCTGTTTCGCTTACCGATTTTCGCATAGCGATGTTTTTTAAACAGCTGATTGGCGGTTCCAAAATGGCCGCCCGCAGTGTTTTCACGCCCATTCCTCGCTTACCAGGCAGCGAAAATGGCGGCCGTATGGAGGATTTTCGCATAACGGTGCGTTTTAAGCCCATAGGAACGCATTAAACAGGTTTTAATGCATTCCTATGGGCTTTTTTGTTCCGTGTAGTGACAATTCCACATAGCGATGATTTTTCCAGAACGGATTATCGTCGCAATGCGGGGCACCACTGTACAATGTTATTTTATTGAGAGTAACCAGGAGCTGCTTCGTTATTTTGGTGAAAACATTTACATAAATGATACTAAATATCTAGCTTTGAGAGACTCATGCTCTCAGGTGACTTTGTGTCATTCTGATATAATCCCTCAAGAGAAGTGAATACATAACCATAAAAGGGATTGGAACTGAATTAATTACTCTACCCATTGCTAAAGTACAAATGAAATAACAAGGGTGGAATGCTGTGTGGAAGGTAGCCATCACAAATCAAATTCGTGCTCCATGCTTGATTGGGCTGGATCTATCTGAGCATGTTAAGAGTATTTTGGGAACTACTCGCTCCCAGGTAGAAAAAAGGGAAACACCTAAGGAAAAACATGAGATCCCTGATGAAATTATAGGAGGAAATGAAGCCAATGAAACAGCTGAGGTAGTGGTTATAAGGAATCCTCATGAAAACGCTTTTAGCCAGGAACACAGGATTCCACTTTACAACAATGCTTTAAGTTAGCCGGAGAAGGAAAGCAAACCCCTGAAAGCCCAGAAAGATTCTGTGTGGAGAAAGACCTGCTATATAGAGAGGTCTTAATAAATCCTAAGGGGAGAGGGGAAAGCATTCACAAACAACGAGTAATCCCTTTGAAATACAGGGGAAAAGATTATAGAAAAAGGACATAAAGACACCTTTGCTGCTTATTTGGGAATCACATGTACAAAGCAGAGGATATCTCAAAATTTTTACTGGCCTGGGATGGGGAAGCAAATAAAATCATACTGCCAAAGCTGTGACATATGTCAAAGGCAGGGTACTGGCAATGATAAAACTAAAGCTAAGTTGTGCCCTTTACCAGTAATTTCAACCCCATTTCAACGCATAGGCTTAGACATTGTGGGACCCTCACCTAAAATAACCAGAAGGGGGCTCAAAGTGTGGTGGCCGATGCCTTGTCAAGAAGAGTGGAAGAAATGACCAATGGAAATGACGAATTATGTAACTTTTAATGTTATAGAAAATGTTCTAAGTGTTTACATATATATAAAGCATAAACTTTTAAATCCATTCTAAAATTTGTTTTCTTGCCCACATCATCGTGAAGCGGATTCGTCGTTATACGGGGTAATCGTTAAGCAGGGCACAACTGTAGTTTCTTCCTGATTCATGGACTAGAATATCTGTGGAACTCAGATAACAATTCAGGTTGGGTTCTAAAAATCGGCATATCAGATTAAATGGTTCTTGACCATCTATAAAATATTTAAGCTTTACCTCCAGCATTGTACACTGTCTTTCAGAGCAGACCAGCCCCTTAACTTGGTCAGCCTGTGTGTACACAAGGAAGCATCTAATGCTCAATTTTTCCTAAACAGCAAGGACATGCCAAGTCATGTCAGAGTCTCCTTCCTGCTGATGTTTATAGAATAATTAAGTTGTCTAGCCACACTACCTACATTTAATTGGCTTTCAATAAGCTAACCACAGTAACTGCATGTGTCAGGGAACTGATGATGATGATCCCTGCTTATTTACCCACTCCCTTTTTGTTTGAGCCGGTCAGGTGTCTTGAACTTTGAGTTTAGTGAAGACAAACATTTGCTATTTTCTCTGTGCAAGTTAATTGTTAAAGAATAAATTCATTTGTATGTAGACCAGAAAAGGATTGCCTATATAAAAAAATCTGTATGACACTTAAATCTTGTTTAGTACAGTGGTGCCCCGCATAGCGAGGTTAATCCATTCCGGATTAATCTTCGCTATGGGAAAACATCGTTAAGCGGAACAGGGAAACCCATTAAACTTCGTTTAACGCGTTCCAAATGGGCCCAAAACTCACCGTTCTCCGATGTTTTCCCATGTTCCAGCGGGCATTTTGGGTGTCCCAGCGGCCATTTTTGGTCTTCGGTGGCCATTTTGGGTGTTCCGGTGGCCATTTTGGGTGTTCCGGTGGCCATTTTGGGTGTTCCGGTGGCCATTTTGGGTGCAACGGTGGCCATTTTCGGTGTTCCGGCAGCCATTTTGGGTGTCCGGCAGCCATTTTGGAACCGCCAAACAGCTGTTCCCCCATCGTAATGCGAGCATGCCCTCATAGTCATGGGGAAATCTGCATCACAATGCGGATTCATCGT